AAAAAAACAGTTTTGTTTGAGCCCTTTTAAGGGCATATAACTTCCTAAGGGTGCGTTTTAGGCCACATGTTAATAGGAACTTTTTGGCTTATTTTAATGAGTTATAAACGCAGCAGAAGTTTGGAACCCTATTTTAGAAACACCCTGTATATGTAATTGAAGCGAACGGGTGGCTCAGTGCCAACGCATCCGACATGTAAGTGATAGATCGGGAGTTCAAACACACACAAAAATATTGTGTGATACATTTGTTAAAAGTGATTTTATTTTGTTCGTTCCTCAATCATAAAATAAAATGTCACTTTTAACACTTGTATCATAATAACTATTATTTGACGCTATTAACATGTCTGTGTACTTTAATTTTAAAATATTAACTGTTTTAACAAAAAATCGAGATTTTCACTGATTTTGAGCTATTTTTTGAGGTTAGGGAAAATCCTGATAGTTCAGACTGTATCGTTGCTCCCGCTAGGAACATGATTCTCATTTTTATAGACTTTTTGAGGTTCCTATGCAACTTTTCTCTAAAATCTACCGTTTTCGAGATATTAACGATTTTTTGTTCGAAAAAAAAAACGCGATTTTAACCATTTTCTTCTCTAAGGATTACGCCAGTAAACATTCAAGTTTTCTTTTAATAATCAGTATTAACTCCAAGTACAAAACCTATTACCTATCTAAAATACCCATTTTCTACTTTAAATGTAATACCACGTAATATTCTAATTCAAATTTCATATTATAAAAATTATCTACTACGGTACTGTTAGGTAGAAACTAAATATTTTATTTCAATAATAAAAATCCTTTTAATCCAGCCCCGACTGAGAGAGTTAGCACGTTTCCGTCTCGCTTGGTTCTCGACTGCCACATCAAAGGCGCCGACACGGACTCCTCGAGCTGTATATTTCTAAGCTGTGACTGTATGTTGTACTAACTACGTCTACTGTGTATTGTTGGTGGCATAACCAATGTAACTAGGATTATTATAGGGCATGATCTGAACATCTGAAATTCGAAGTGTGCATAACGTCAAAATTGATTATTTAAAAAAAATTATGTATTACAAACCACGAGAAAAAATTTGTTCAAGTCAAATAATTATTGAACTCTATTTAACTGTATGACTGTACTTCAGGCCTATCGATCCAAAACAACCTAGATTTTTGTGACTTAGTCTTTAAGTTTTTATAACGCGGTGACATCTAATGCTCAGTATGCACTCGCTGTATTGCGATTAGGATCACAATTATCGCTGAAATTGTTTAATATATTTTAATTAATTAGTTAGTGCAAAGCACTCGTACAATACTGTAGTGTAGTATAATATTTTTTATGTACATAGTATTGTACTATTTTTCGTTTTTGGATCATTATTTTTCAAATTATCTAATAATTTAGTCTACAAAAGCAATAAGGACCAGGGAGGGCGACTAAACTAAATCTATCAGGCCCAACAAATGTTTACAAGTTTATGGGTAAAATGTCAAACATCTGTCATAAACATAGTATAAACTGCATTGCATAACGCTAGAGCACAAACAAAATATGGTAGCTATATTGTCTATAGTTAAAGTACAGAATAACTTCCAATTTTAAGTGCATACATAGCATGGCTTGCGGCGTTTTATCGTGTGAGGTTTCGGTTTCACGGTACAGGGTGTTAAATTTGAACCAAATGAAGAAATTTTCAAGTAATACTCTCGAGGACACCTTTTGTATTTTTTAATTAGTTAATCAGTTCCAGTTTATGGTTTTAATTTTTTAATTTTGCTTACAAGATTTTTCGTGAAAAAATAACAAATAACAAACAATAACAATACATCAGAAGACAAAAAAAACTTAGTAAAGTTAAGTTCAAGAGGGCATTGTTTACAAAATATCGGGTGTTTATGTTACAAAAGAAATTGACATTATTTCACAAATTTCCTGTAAACACAGTAAATTTGCAAAATAAGATTTGCTCGATAGATATTAGTTCTTGCCTCAATCTGGTTAGACAGTTTTCTAATGGTATATAACTGTTTTTTAAAGAATTGGTAATTGTGACATGTTTCTTATCATAATTTAGTTTTTATCATCGAAATTTTTGCATTTTTGGTTTTGTATCCACAGCTTCAAATTCAATTTTTAAAATTTATAAGTGACAGGAAAGGGGTGCTAAATAGAAAACTCATTGTTAAGTATAGTTGTCATTTATTTATCTCAATTTGTCTGTTAATCGTTACAGAACTGTTATAATACTAGAGAATAAGTTACATGATAATAATTTACATACATTCCAATATACAAGTCTCAACAGAGAAAACAGGGAAAGACAGAAATGGAGAGAGGTAACTTCGACAGTAATCAATGTGATTTCACTTAGGATTTTAATATAAAATACTCAACTTGGCTACATCACTTTGTCAATAAAAATAATACACGCTCAGTCTAACAGAAGCAAAAATAATGCTGCCAAATAAAACTGATCGGTTGAGTGAATACATATAAAAATACATAAAAACTTATCTTTAATATTTCCTAGAATCAGTGCTTAAATACAATCGAAATGGCTGTCGGTATTTCACTAACCTACAAAATAATCAGTCGTATGGTTTGGTAAAATTTCAAAATGCCCAGGAAAAACGCCTTTGGAGAATTTCTACGGCCGCCACTAGCCCCAGATTTTAGTCCAATTTAAGAAACATGCTAGATTTACTACAGTGCTAAGGTGCCACGTTGTACTTCTGGCTGTTGCCAACTAGTACTTCTGTAATCTACATACATAATACATAATTATTACAATCAAGTGCAGAAGATACTCTTGGCAAGAGCTCAGACTACGCTGGATCCTACTAGTTGGCCATATCTGAGTCTACCTGACATATATAACCCGGCTAATTAGAACTAGAACCTACTAGCTGACCACATCTGAGTCTAATGGACCTTTCCCTAACTCCAGAACGTTTCCCGGGGTAAATTAACTTTAAAAATTCTACTCCTCCGTGGAGATCTGCGTGCTGGCGCTGGAGAACGAACCCCTGGCCTCGCCGCTGATGCAACTGTCGGGCACCGTGATGAAATTGCACTTCTTGTAGCTGGCCCAGCTGGAGGAGTTGCACACCCTCTTCAGGATGCTCTTCCTCTCGCTCTCCGGCTTGCAGGTGACTATCACCTCGGGCACCACGCAGTCTTTCTGGATGAACGGCTCGTCGGCCCCCTGGGGCTCCGCCACCGTACCGCTTTCCGCCACCCTCCTCGGCCTCTCCCCGAAAGGTATCCTCTGCTTCGGCAACAACCCGAACATCTTGCATATCTCCCTCTTGACCCTCTTGTTCCGATAGCCGAACAGGAAGGGGGACAGTATGTTGGAAAACACCAGTAGAATCAAAGAGAGATAATTGAATATCTGACTAGAGTTCACTTTTACGCACTCCGAACTGAGGATCAGAGTCAAACCGTAGGGTATGTAACACACTAGCACCATCAGAATCACCAGGACGCTTATCTTGGCCGCCCTGGTCTCTTCCCGGTACCGGAACACTGACGCGTTGGAGATCTTGTGTCTTAAATTGTTGATAAAACTGTGCGCGATGCGATCACTACAAGTCCTCACCACTTTCGTCCTAGGTTTTTGACTCTCCACGTCGGAATTTTCAATTTTGAAGCTCTCCTCGCGTTCTATGTTGAAGAAATTGGGCGCGGAATGCACTTTGGGCAAAGAGTTCTGGCTTTTGACTTCCCGACACTTGGGCAGCGGCACCTGCATGTAGTCTATGTAGGAATTGAGGGGTGCGGAGGTGGATCTGCGCATCCTCTCGCTGTTTTGGTGCGCGGCGGTGTAAATGCACACGTAAATCACGCATATGGCCACGAAGGGGGCCAAGATGACGAGGAAGAAGTACCCGAAGGCGTAGGTGGTGTTCAGCACCTTCACCGTGTGGCTGGGCTGGCTCCTCTCCTCGCAGAAGTGCCACAGGCTGCTGTCGCTGTACGTCAACGAACTCAGGGTGGCGCAGAACAGCGCGACGAACCAGCTGATGCCTATGAAGATGCTGGACCGGCACTTGTTGATGTAGAAGTGGTACCTCAACGAGTGGATCACCCCGAAGTACTGGTTGATGCCTATGAGGAGGATGCTGAAGATGGAGGCGGTGCACACGAAACTGGTGGTGCTCTGTGCGAAGTAGCACAGCAAGTGCCGGTTGGTGGTGGTGTTGGAGGGTAGCCCTAAGCCGTGAGCCAGGATGTTCTGGTCGGTTTGGATGATCTCTATGTTGGTGGACTTTTCTTTGATGATGACGTCCGTTTGGTTCTGCTGGACGGTCAGCTGGGAGGGAGTACGAGCGTCCTGGTCCACCAGGAGTAATGGAATGAGTAGAATACTAGAGAGTAGGTTTGTTATCAGGAGGTTGATCACGAATCTGGAATGATAAATCGAAATTAGGATCTCTGCATTTACGCTAAGTAGTTGCAATAATTGTTGCTTATAAAAAAACAAGTTACTTTCGCTTCGCCTTATACACGCAATCGGAAAAATAGCAATTACAATACGATTAATCAGAAAGGCAATTACTAGTGTATCGGCCGAGAATAGATAAGGTTATTTTAAGCGCGGACAATGATAAATAATTATTACCGCTTCGCAGAACCATAAAAAATGTGCAATATTTACATTTATTTATGGCATATTTTATAAGAGGTTACTCAACAGGCTGAAATTCTGTCGCGGTTGATCGCACCAAGCAACCTTAAGGATAAACAGCAGGGATAGCCAGCTTAATGATACAGGGTGGTCACTTTGAAGGTGTACACCATAGAATCTCCTGATCTACATAGAGGAGATACAGAGTTGGTTAAATTACGAAAAATTTCATTCGACTTACAAAATTAGTTGGCAAAGTGTTTACAACGGTGGCCATGGTTACCTTCGCGCAGCAGTGAAAGATGGAGTAGGAGTAGTAGCACATATTTACTATGCAATTTAGGCTCTGTTTATTCCGATCGTAACTAAATAGTAGCTATTCGCGGCTTTTTTCGTATTAAACGTAATTTGTTCAGGTGTGATGTAAAATTTTGTTACGTACGTATTGCTTTTCGTGTATTTTTTTAAAAGATTGCAAAAATTTAAATTGATTATAAAGACAGATTCAAAGTAATGCTATCAACTGAAAACTCAATGGTACGAGAAATACCAAACGTTAATGAAAAAGTAATTGAAAATAAGTTTATTTCGGACAAAAGCAGAAAAATGGACTTTCATTGTAAAAAATAATATTTTCCCTATATTTCAACAGTACTTAAAACAACCCAATTAGATTTAATTTTATTTTTCATTACTTTGAACTAATTTTTCCGCTCGCCACTGGTTATGTCGATATGTTTTATATATTGAAATTTAAAATTTCCATTTGTTTCATGGCAAGTGTGATATTTCGTGGCTTGCTCTCTCCAATGAACTTGTTTGCTTCAACCGCAAAGAAAATGAAAACGTTATTTTTTTAAAAATACATATATTTTTTATATTTCTGATAAAGGTATTAGTGAATTTAAATTCGTAATTTTTCTTATTTTAATTTGAAATTTATTTTACAAGTATGACGTCACTAAAGGAAAATCAATAAATGTCTGTTATCACACTGATGGGGGGTGGCATGACAGCGATTTCTGCGCTGATTTTTGACGAATCTATAAACCCAATTATTTTGCGCTCACCGCTAGTCGCCGCTATGGGTGTTTCGAGACTGAGCGGTTTGTCAGGAATTCAACGATATCTCGTTTGCAACACATACTTGTAAATTACCATTAAAACTCTATTTTTTTAAACTTTGATAACTAGAAAACTTCATGAAAATCTTATGGGTCTAACGTATTTGGCAAAATAACTTTTTTGATTTATAAATCAGTAATTGTAAATAGATATCGATTCTAGGTTTTCGTTTTGTTTATGTGTGTCAAATTAGTGGATGAAGGAATCGTTAAAAAAAACGTGGAGGATCTAGTAAGTCTAAAATGCTTGAACATATAGATCAAAACAACACGCACTAAACTTATTGTTGTGATTTTAATAATAAAAAATATATGACACAATTGAGAAAAGTTAAATTTTCAGTTTTTTTCAGAATATTTTATAAACGAATACCTGAGTACCTCCAACTCCTCTTTTCATAATCCTACGTGGCTTAGAAATAAGCATTTTTTGTAACTTAGCCATCTCTTAGTTTAAGAAACTATGGCGTACACCTTAAAAGTGACACCCCGTATATTCTATTTGCGACAGATTATGCCCTTCCCTGTTAATTTTTCGAAGGAGATAATAGAGGACCGTAACACTTTTGAGCATTTACCTGTTTGGTACGGTGCGTAGTCCTCTTCGTCTGCAGAAGACGACCAGCAAAAAAAAATTGGCGGTGACTGCGATGACCGATGACGTCACAAGCCCAATCGTGATGAGCCAATGGTAGTCGGACTCCATTTATTACTGCCTGAAACAAGGAAAGAAAACGTCAATATGGATAAAAAAGAGTTGATAAAATAAAAAAATATTAATCTGTTAATACGAGATCAGTGGTTTTCAAGTAATAGTAGAGGTGAAGTAATTGAGTCCATGAAGTTTTCGTGGATGTAAAATAATGTCATATCTAAAAGGTGACACTAAATCAAAGACTAATGAATCTGTGCATGTAAATATTATCAACTCTATCTTTTTCTGGGACACTGAAATGCAATTTGGCATATATAATTCTGTTCTAGTCAGGTACAAGATTCTTTGTATGATAAATATGAATAGACTATAAATTACATAATAAAAATATTGTCTAAAAAAGACCATTTCAAAGTACACTGTTTTCTTTGTAATTCATCTTCCGATATTTCAAGAAAAAATGTATTACCTTAACAATTTCTTCTGACAATCAAGAGAGAGGCGAACAAAAATTTGCATTATATTTCCCAACCGATTCTAACACCAAAACTACTTGAAGAGTAGGATGCACCACAAAAGTAACATGAACTGCCCCAAGCGAACTGCGACAGTCTAAGGCGGTTCTTCCAATGAAACAAAACACTCTACAAAAACTACTATCGAAGTGCCGATGGCAAAACAAAACGCTTCCTCGGCAGAGCCGACCGCAACTGCACGGAGCGTCCTATCAGCTGTATTAAATCGACTAGGTCTGTGACTGAACGTTGAACTGACGTTGCTGGCTTCGGGATCTTCTTTAAATGTCTACGTTAATGGCACCGCATATCTCGTCGGCGGGTCATCAATGTACGCGCCGCGTTCTCGCAATCGTTGGACGAGTTCTTTGGGGAAATTTTGCCGAGCATGTACCCACAGGTTAGGTTTAACTTCTTGGGGGAAGTCCTTTGCGAAACAATGCCTAGTATTGTTTTTTTATTTATGCTAATTCTGCTTTTACATCGGCCTATCAACTTGTAATTCGAAATATTGTTCTCTGTACTCTACAGTCAATCACTGTCAACGTATTTGTCTCTAAGGGTGCGTCCCCGGGCATCGTTAACGTAAGATCCAAGATGGACGAATTTGAAATATAAGTGCCACGTCATGTGTCAAGCATAATTTTAGGATAATTAAGGTTTTATATATTTTGGTTCAAAATACAAGGAAGCTGAGTTAGAAGCGGTAACAACTTATGAATATCTAGAAAGCATCATTACTGACGATACAATAAAAGAAGTAGTAAAATAAGCGAATAAGATAGTAAGGAAGAGAGAAGTGACAAAGGCAACGAAACTAAAGTTATGTAATACAATAGTACTACATTGTACCAAATTTCCCTCATTTATCACAACTATTTTACTACAATTTACCACATTTGACAACTCTCATGTTTCACAATAACAAAATTGCAAATTAATCTTTCGAAACTCTTCCCTGTGTCATCGAGGTGTACAAGACAGGCCTTCAAGGTAAATCTTTGTAATAGAGTCTCCATGAGTCTGTCAAAAGTGCAGACACTTTTGACAGACTTTAGCTCCTGCAATGTTCCAGAGAACATTGCAGGAGCTAAAGAGCATGCCATTGTAGTGTCTCAAACCTGTATCAATAGAGAAAGTAGTCTTTTCTCTGCCATTTGGATAGACTTCCACTTGCCAGTAACCACTTTTGAAATCCAACGTAGAGAAACATTTTGCATTTGCCAGGGTGTCCATAATGAAAACGATTCTAGGTAAGAAGATAACTATATTTCTTCATTATGGCATTTACACTTCTGTAATCACAAAATCTATTAGAACTTTCTTTCCTGGTGACGTGCCAACTCTGTGGGCAATTCGAAGGTCCTATTACACCTTGATGTTGTTGTTTTTCAGAAAGTTTTTAAATGTCTCTTGTTTAGCTAATACAACTTTTCTTGGTCATTGCTTAATGCAAAAAATGCACTTGAGAAATAAAGTTGAGAAGACAAAATCGGACAGAATAAGAAATGAAACAATAAGATGAATGTGTAAACAAGAATAAAGAACAAATAAGATAACAAAGAGCTCCTGAACAGATATGGACATTTGGTGAGGATAAAACCAAATAGAATGACAAAGAAGGAAAAGTTGACCATGAAAATCGTATATTTAACAAATGACAGAGGTAGGAAAAAGAAGAGAGAAGATATTAAAGGAGATGACAGAAGTGACGGAAGATAGTAAAGTATGTTAAAGGTGGATGGATGGACATATAGGAAACTAACCTAAATCTGACCCCCAGAAGGGGAAGAGAGGAAAAGTATATTTTGGTAAACCGACTATTGTGATAAATTTCATTAATTGTCAAAATATAAAAGTAATATAATTTTGTCTTAAGGATTCTTTAGAACTAAAAAATCACAACTCTTTTCCGGTTTTTGAATAGTGGTAGATACTCCACTTTTCTCTAACAATTTCGTTTGCAAAAAGGTCTTATTTAAATTATAAATGAATGAGTATGTGCATTAACCTTAGTTATTTATTTAAGTAATGTAACATCAAATTTAGAACTTATTTTTTTACACCCAATATATAAATACGATTATTAAACTCTGCAATGTTGTATAGAATTTTCACGACTTTTAACTTAATATACACGGTAAGATCAAATACACATTCGATTGTCCAAACTTCTCATAACCTGAATATCGATAAAATGTCATATACGTCCATTAGCGGCAATTACCCTTTGTTCTGCCGTCAGTTGTAGGTATTATCTAATTCAAGCATTTATTGTCATAAAAAGATGCTCGATTTATTTTCATGTCGTTGTGGAGGAAATTAAGCTTTTACAAATATGTTTATTTTTCATCACATCATGTAAAAACAAAGTAACTACGACTCTGGAATGTACGATTGACTTTCCGATCTTGAAATAAAACATACTTTGTATGATTATAACGTTTTATTTAAAATTTTAATTTTCTAATAAAAAAGCTGCTGTTTTTAATTTAATTTTTAATGTATCAAATGATATACTGATTGACCTGCAGCTGCATAGCTCAACACAGAACCCTATTTTTTAATTTTACAGCGACAAACAAACCAATCTAATTATAAAATAAAAGCACAGTTTGCGTAAATCTTTAATTTCCATAACAAGCCTTGTGGTAATGCGGAAATTGTATGAATATTATAACAAGGGAGTGGAAAAAGTTCCGCTACATTTTTAGTTTTAAACAGGCAAAACAATACCATGTATATAATACGCTTCATCTTCAACGTTACAAACATCGGTAGTGTGAAATAATTGGAAATTTTCCGCGAATTTTTAATTTTCTTTTTTAAAGAACATAATGAAAAAGGAGAGGAATAAACCGCAGTGGTAATGTACGCAAAACATTTGTATATTATTCGAAAATGACAATTCCATTTGTACATCCGTACATCCGATTTAATGAGATGAGTTCGTAGAAAAGCCTACTGCGATCAAAGTTTTCCCTCGTTGCATCTTTTTGAATTAAAATTACAGGCTACTGAAATGCGATATGTCAGAAAGGGATTATCATTGCGTACATACAAGATATGTATAAAAACTGGATAAAAAACGTTTATACAAATGCATCTGTGTTTCTGTTTTCCATCAAGGACGAATAACCAAAGTTTTAAGTAGAAACATTTGCCCTCGAACAACTTGCCTGAGATTTGTTTGTTCACAAACACGCTCAAACTCGGAGTATTGCAACAAATGTTAAATTTATTTTGAAATAATTTTTTTTTTTAATATATTTTTTGCTTTTCTCTTTAACAAAAGCTTGAGGTAGAAATAGTTTTTCCACATTAGGTTGGACTCATATTCTTTCAATATATCCTGGCGGGTTCAAATTGGACGACGAAGTTATTCATCAGCAAATCGCGTCTCCCGTGAGTCGCCCTTACTTTGCGCGGGACGAATCTAAGAAATTAGGGATTATCGAACCGCGATATTTTCTCTTTATAGAGCATCCGCGGCCATTTTGGCCACGTGTCGGGTCGTTCTGGCTCCATTCCATGCATTACAGCAATTGAAGGTCAATTCAATCGACGGGAGCTGTTTTCCAGAAAGACCTCCCGCTTCCCGAATACATGACCCCGTTCCAAATCCGTCGAAGATTCCTGGAGGCGTTGGTATTTGCTTACAGAATCCGAAATAAACGATACATTTTACCTTTACACCAATATTATCCTTTGAAATACCTTACAAATTACTCTGTTCGGTTCAATATGCCATACATGACGTCACATGTTCGACTTGGACCCTTCGCAGATCTGGAAAGTTACGTAATTTTTAACAGTAATTGCAACGGCGACGTCATTGTGCCGAAATCGACATAAATTGTTTGCGCGTGTGAGTAACGGCGGAAAGTTTTGGTGTCTTGGAAATCTGCTATTGATTCCGTCTGTTTTTTTCAAACGGCGGGACTGAGAGCAAAGTCCTGGCGCACGGAGATACTGCGAATGTTGGCCTAGTCAGGTCTCTTTGAAAAGCTGTTTGATGGTGTGACTAAATGCAGCTGTATTGATAACGAGCGTTCAAATAAAAACGTGGTCAAGTTGGTTCTGAAAATTTGGACGTAGGGCGTAGCGTATAGCCAATGAACTTTAACGTCATCTGTCAAAGCGCTATATCGCCGCTATCAATTTGAATATTTTCGTTTTAAAAAGCGTTCAAAATGGTGTTTTCTCAAGAACAAAAAGTGTTTATCATAGAGTCCTACTTTAGAAATGGACGCAAGATTGATGGAATATGGAAGTATTCTATTGAGGAATGTTTCATAGAATTTCAAAATCAATTTCCCGGCGTTGTTGAGTACAAAATTTTTCAAAGTGCAGTTCAGCGTTGTGTTAATGTTTTTCGTGAAACGGGCAGTGTAACAAGAAAAGAAGGAAGCGGCCGACCTAAAAAGCGGACTGAAGAATTAAAAGAAAATGTCCAACAAATAATGGAAAATGCGCCAAGAACTTCTGTACGTGTTTTATCACAAATGGTGGGAGTATCAGTCGGTACCTGCCACACAGTGTTAAAAAAAGATTTGCGTTTGTTCTCCTATCGTTTAACTTGTCAGCAAGAACTTCATGAAGTTGATTTTCCGCGACGGGCTGTATTTTGTGAATGGTTTTTAAACAACTACGGTGAACTTCATAATATCACCTTTTTTTCTGATGAAGCCTGGTTTCATTTAAGTGGTTACGTAAACTCACAGAATATGAGAATGTGGTCTTCTGAAAAACCAGATAACTTTTTTGTCGAGGGCCCTCTACACGCTCAAAAAATTGGAGTTTGGTGTGCTCTCAATCGAAGGAGGATTTATGGACCTATTTTTTTTAATGGTACTCTTACTGCGCAAAGGTATAGAGAAGAAATTATCGCTCCTTTTGTTAACCAGCTGGAAGAAAACGAAATTACAAACTTTTACTTTCAACAAGATGGCGCAAGGGCACATACGGCAGGCGAGACGATGAATATGTTGAGGGAAGTTTTCCAAAATCGACTAATAAGTCTCAATGCTGAACATGAATTTCCACCGAGGTCATGTGATATTACGCCGTGTGATTTCTTTTTGTGGCCTTACCTTAAAAACACTATTTTTGAACTGCCTATTCCTGATTTAAACCATCTGCAGGCTCGACTTATAGACAAGATTCGTGAAATTAACAATACCCCGAGCATCTTAGAAAATGTCTTTAATTCTTTGAGGAACAGGTGT